GTGTGTGTGTGTGTGTGTGTGTGTGTGTCTGTGGTGCTGGCCGCCATCAACTACACTAGCACTACTCTCTGCTATCATCCGCTGCTCGAATGCACAAGACCGCAACAGCACTTCTGCTTCAGGCGAGAATGCCAATAGTTGTTGACTTTTGGCCCTGACGGACTCTGATGTTGGGACCCGCTGCTTGCAGCTGCTGTTGGCCTCCGACAAACAGAACATTTCCAACTTCCGGACTGGCTGGGGACTGACAGACAGACAGACAAGCTACTCAGACCTTCGTAGACCTACGGATTGTGTGGACCTGAGTGCTACTGTTTTTCAGTACCTCCTGGATGACCGACTACCAGATGGGAATATGATACAGGGGGAAACTGGGACTCCGGGACTGGACCGGGAACTTGTGAATCCTTTCACTTGCCACTTCTTACGACATACCAGCAGTGGGACTTTTTTGACTCCTCTTGGGACCTATCTACGATCAGATGCAAGCAGAAGAAGCCGCAATTTCGGTCAGATACCATCCAGGTGTGAGTACCTGCTTAAACCACCAGTACCTCGGCCATTTATCAGCCGCAGCCGCAGCCCGGTGCAGGGGCAAAAAAAAGAGTAGAAGCGTTTCTAGTCGGATGAATTTGGGCATTCCCGTAGTGGCCCGTCCGTTCATGATTGTCACGGGTTGTATACCGCAGCGACTTTCGGAGATACTAGTCGTTTACGAGCCTTTTGGAATAGACTGTATTCATATCCGTCTCACCACCCACAAGTGAACGTCGACCATATGACAATCTGTATTCATACCTGCATCACCATCCAGTCTTGCATATGCACCATACGCCTTGCCCTGAGCTCTGACTTTCCAATGAATCTCACGATTGAGAACAACGTCTGCCGTTACTGAGCCCGGACTTGGAAGGTAACCTCCCTTATGTAAATTGCCAGATTCTCCCACATAAGAAACCTGTAAATGAGAAAAAGAAAAGAAAAGAAAAAACGAAGGAAGCATTAGCTCAGTGCATTCTTGAAATACAGACCTGTGTTCGAACTCTGCTGGAAGCAGATGAGTAAAATACTTCAATTACCTAGGTGACATCTCAAGGCCGTAGCCCTTTTTTAAGCAAAATGAAAAGAAAACAAAGAAGGTAACCTCCCTCTCGTAAGTTACCAGATTCATCCACTGAGATTTGAAACCATGATCTATTTATTAAGAGTCACATATGTGTACCACTCAGCCACTATGTTGTCTATGGGAGGTATCATGTATTTAGCTCATCTTGCACCTTTTCTCATTGTTTTCGCATTAACTGGGTTAGAGTTAGGTGTTGCTGTATTACAAGCTTATGTTTTTACTATTCTAATATGTATTTACCTAAATGACGCTTTAAATCTTCATTAACCACTTTCTCCTGCTGGATGAATCAGATGGATACCCTAACGTTAGGGGCTACCCCTTTAAGATACCGGATTCTCATCAGCAGGTTGGTACACCCATGAACTGTTGAAATACAGGCCTGAGCTCGAATCCAAAGCAATGGGATGAATGAAATCAAATAATTCTGGATTACAATGATAGCTCTAGGGAGTCTAGGCCATCGCCCTTGTACACACCAAAAAAAAAAAAAAAAAAAAAAAAAAA